CTTCTTTCTCTTTTACTCCGACGAAGGACTAGCGTCCGAAACGTCAGTAAGTTTTTTCATCTTTTCACGGTGTATAATTTACCTTTTCATCATTACTGTCTTACACTATACACTGTATGCCAGGGTTCAAAACAATTTTTTTAGAAAATGCTGAAATTTGCTGGCTTTTGGGGTGTGGCTCATTTTTGGATGGCTACTTTTAATCTTCTCAATAAAAACAAAGATCAATAAATGTTTTGAGCCTTTGAGCATATAAAACAGACTGTGTTTTGTGGGTAAGGCATTTTAATGTTAAATAGTCATAATTTATCAATCATGGTGAAATTGTTTTATTTCTTTATTTAATTTTTGTGTTTTTGGTTAGAAAATTGCTGGCAAAGGTGCTGAAATAACTGGCTAAAGTTGGCAGCCAGCTGCTATTTTGAGCCCTGTATGCCATACTTGATTCTGAACAACATTTTCTTAATTGGTTTACAAAGCATTATCTAGTAAACAACAATAAATACAGCCGACGTACCTGGACGTAATAATTTATTTTGTACCTATTTGTTTGTCTTTCCAAGTAATATGATCTGAAGAAAGGAAAATAGAATAATATTAATATTATATTTACAAGTTAAAGTTAAATGTTTTAAGTGGTAACCAGGATTACTTTTAGCCCTGAAAGATGTAATACCATTGCCTGGTCTTTCTCTCCCCTCCCCTCCACTTTCCCTTTCCAATCACAAAGTCAAAGACTGCCAAGCCCCACAGGCTATACAATAAGTAGTCTAGTACATACAGTATTGGGTATTCCTTACTCACCCTGTTCTCTGTAATGAATATATAGGGTCTTGTAACATGAAAGTACTCAACAATGACATCAAGACTAATAGCAGTATGGGTAAAAACTGAACCAATGAGTATAAAGTCTGCTGTAGAAAGAAAATAACTAGTAAGTAACTCTATAACTAGTAAATAAGAAGGGAAACTATTCGACAGATACACCTACACAACCCCAACTACAGTACATTCTAGTAAACCACTTGTCTTACTGTGGTTTTTGTTTTCTGCAAACTCAGACATTTCAACAGCTTGTTGTGAAATATTGGTATTTTACTGCCGCTAGTCAATAACATAAAAGGTACCATGGCAGAGAAAAACTTCAAAAATTTTAGTGTGGAGCTCACAACTACTGGGTTCAGAGAATATTTAAAACTGTAGTAAGTACACACAGTGTTCATTGCAGGAATCGCGCATAAAAAACAGAAATGGCACAAACAAAAATTTATCCAAAAATGAACTATCCAAAGAATACTTCCTGTAATTTCAAAAGGTTTAGAGTACTTTTAAAACAATAAAAGTTGCATTATATTGTCAATRAACAAGGTGAAAGTCCAATGAATCGAACATAGCTGCCATCTTGTTTTTTACTCGCCAAGAGGTCTGGAACTAGTCTTTGTTAGCTGACCTTGTTTATTGGAGGCTMAAGTATGGCTGCCCAGCGCAAGTGTATTGCATTATCATTACTAATAAAAAACTGTCTTACATTGTTCTAGATTTGCAACAGAGTTAGTGGCAAAAAACATGATTATTCTTTGTTTTAAGATTTTGGAAATGGCCCATCAAGTTAAATTTCTAAATTGCCCCTAAATTTTGGATTTCTGTGCCCTTTGACCCCCTGAAAGAAATTTCTGGTCAGAACACTGTACACACAGTTAGTTTGTAAACATAAACATAGCTTCCCTTTTTAAGCTTGGTTCAGAACTACTGTAGCAACATAAACAACATAAGCATAGGCCAAGGATATGTTTACGTACTGTGATATAAACACTCTGGGAGCTGTAAAGCACTCTTCTCTCATGCTCTACAGCTCCCAGCATGTTTGTATTATACAGAGACATGCAAGCACATTTTGTATTTCTTAATGACCAACATGGCTGTTGACAGGTACATTTATAAGGTCTTGCCATCAAAGACTGTAATAGTCCCTTTCACAGTTCCCTGTGCCAACTTGAAAGATAGCCATACCTTTGCAGCAAAGCCTGAGGAACGTTGAGCTTGCAATGATAGATACCATTTTTAACACCTTGGACAATTATTAGAATGTCTCTATCATTGCAAGCTCACCGTTCGTCTCGCTTTGATGCAAAGGCACGGATACATTTCAAGATGGCGCAGGGAACTGTGAAGGGGACTACTAACTATGTACTTACGTTAACCTCCTGTCCCTCATCGTGAACATGTGAATGATGGTGGTTTCTATTTCTGTGCCTTCGATTAACATAAACACGACCTACAAAAAATAGCAATGAATACCAACAAACAACTMCAGGTATCAATTATCACTGTATGTTTCCTACGTTGACCAGTGAATGTCTTGGAAACACTAGGGGTAAGTAATGATATGATTATATCTGTAAAAGTTCAAAACTTTTAATACATCAAACTATATTAAGAATTACATTAGTTAGCATCAGATCTAAGATGTAAGTGACCTTTAGATCTGAGGATTAGTAGGAGAATGAGTATGCATCCTGTGCACGTGATTAACACTGAATTATAGGCAATATCTAATTTTTTTACTATTTAAAGTTTGAATCTAAATACATAACCACAGCTAAAAAATGATAGTGCCAATCTTTTGAATTCAAATATTGTAATCATTCTAGTCATCAGATCTAAAGGCCTCTATTTTTTATTTTTTATTATTATTTATTTTTTCTCTRTTTTTTATTTTTTTATTATTTATTTATGTTTTATCATTCTTGTCATTAGATTTAAAGGTCTCTATTGTTGCAGCACGATCAACTGCAGCATAAAGAAAAACCGAAAGGTCTTATTATACATGTAGATTGAACTAATGCCTTACTTACCACCAGGCATAGGCCCACCAAAGAACATGTTAAAGATTTCCTCTGGAGTGATATCAGCTGGAAAATAGACAAAAAAAACGGCATCAATGAATTAAGAATCCTGTCCTACACGTACATGTATGGCAATTCAGTAACTGTCAAATGACCCGAAACCTATGACTTGTACAGCGCTGCTTGAGTGCTCTAATAAAACCTTTGGAAAAAGTAATGTGATGGGGGCTGGATGGTTGAAGCGAGCATGTTGGAAAAACCTGTCCAGTCCTCCTTGGTTTACAGAGTCTGTATTTATCAATGTTAGAAGGATTTTTCAGCCTTTTTTACAACAAAAATTGAGTCATATTATAAATTCTTATTGACTGAGTTAGGTCAGGCCAGAAGGGGAAATATTTAGCTCTTGGTCATTTGTACTGACCTTTACTGCACTTGGTCCGTACAGCATATAACATCAAGCCAAATATTTTCCTTCCAGCCCTCTCACTAAGTCAATAAGTATAACTTTGAAAAATCAAATCATAGACTGGCCGAAGCAATGAAGTATTTTATCTTGGGTGTAATGTTTTCCCATTTCAGACCATGTATCATTTCCAAGAGTATTTTTTTCCTTCTTTAACAGTTGCACRTGATAATACACTTGGATATGGATACAACTCACACAGAAAATGTATACCCAAGTCCTTAAGAGAATGAAAAGGTCTATAGTTTGTAACAACTGTGATTGATTGCACAGGGTGTGTGCTTACCTTCAAAACCTCTAGAGTAATCATAGTGGTTATGAGTGTAAAGGTTTTGAGGATTCTCATCACCATATCTATCATAACGTTTCTTTTTATCCTCATCTGTCAGCACAGCAAATGCATTGCCAATGGCTGTTGAGATAAAATATCCTTTGTCAGTAACTAAGAGCAGAGTACTGTATATCCAGAAGATCTATCTTTAAGCTATGTCATATAATGAATCAAAATATTGCCACCAATTTGAATAACTACAGCATTACAAGTTCTGGAAAGACTAGCCTGTCATGTACTGTATGTGAAAATTATTTTACGTTTCCACATGAACACGAGGCTACAGTAGAGGCCAGAAGTTTTTCAGGGTCCCCACACACGGTTCAGTACAGAACAATACAGTAGTTGTTTAAAATGGTCGCAAATAATTTGATTTGGTGTACATGGCATGTGTATATTTTTCAAATTAATCGTTTGTAATCATTTTCAAAAGTGAAACAACAAAGACATACAGTAGTGACCATGTTGGTAGTATAAACAAAAGAAGCTCATGACAAATCTCTTGTAAATTACCACCAACATGGCCCTTATAACTTAACATGWAAATGAATAACACAATAACAGCCATAGGTGATCCCTATGGATAGAAAACCACAGGAAGCCCAAACTCTCGTACTGATATTCACCTTTGAATGCTTCAGTAGCTCCTGGAGCCCTGTTCTTGTCTGGGTGGAACTGAAGGGCAAGTTTTCTGTATTGCTTTTTGATGTCAGCATCAGAAGCATCACGAGGGATTCCTAGGATCTCATAGTAATCCCTGCAGTTCTTTATTCTGAATTTGAAATGAAACCAAAACAATAATTAAAACTTATTCTGTGATATTTTACAAAAGCCATCTTAAATAATACAGTACATGTACAATATTTCAGGAGATGAGTGTGAGTGTGTGTCGGTATTTTTAAATTACAGTAATTTCAAAAAATGTTAATCTGACCTAGGCCCCATTGTTCTTTAATATATAACCCGTATAAGGCAACAGTATAAAAGCCACTGAAGACACTGGAGAAAACAATCTTCAGTGCCCATGCTCAYACAACAGGCCCCACTGTACATATTTTTGTAATTTGCAAAATCTGTTGTCCTTACCTTCACAGGAAAAGCAAAATATGATAAAATATACAGATATAAAATAAAACTAGCTGCAAAGTCCTGGTTGGGTTTTCATTAAGTTTTATAGGAGAAGATCATTGTTAAGCCAGAGAAATTTGCTCAGTTACAGTGCCAATAGCACTCTTCAATTTTCGACCCTAATAAAAATCATGCTATTGTCCTTCTTGGGACAAGACAGGAGATAAATATTAAGTTTTATAGGAGAAGATCATTGTTAAGCCAGAGAAATTTGCTCAGTTACAATAGCATTCTTTAATCTTTGACCCTAATAAAAATCATGCTATTGTCCTTCTTGGGACAGCAGACATGAGACAGAAAATATTCCCACCTTTTAACAGCCTCTACTTGCTCAGTTGTGTAGTTTTTGTCATACGTTACACTTCCATTAGCAGTTTCACCATGACTACTTGTTTGTTTCCTGTGTCTTACTCCATCGATTTTCTCTGATTCTTCAGTTTCTTCAGATGATTCTTTTTTSAGTAAAGAATTTAGCAAATCTAGTAGAAAGGATAATAATGTACTGTAATTAATTGTCTGTATTTCCGTAATGCTAAATATGTTYTATATGCCAACAGTACTGTACCTGCGGCTTACTGCAGCCTTTCTGATATTCTGGCACCCCTTTGTCTTACCCAAAGTGAAAACTAAGAGATTCAAGAAACGTTTTATCAAGAGACGTCTATTTTCTCATACAGTACTTGGCCAAGCTTAGCCATTTTAGCCTCTTTGAATTTTATCACATATATCCATATATAAATATTAATTTCATATTATTTGTTTTTGATTAATTATTGTAAAGAAAGACCATCATTATTATCATTCTGCGAACTCGGTATTTGCAAACTACACAATGAAATTTGTTTTTTCGCTGCCGTCTATCAAAAATAATCTRTCAGCACCCTTTATGACCTACTGTAGCTTGACTGGCAGCATTTAAAAACCAATTTCACAACAAGGTATTGAAAATTTTTTTCAGACTATCGAAAACCTCAGTAAACTTGTTTTCAATAACCCGCATTTACTCTATACTGCAAGCCTCATATTCCTAGGAATGAACCCTTACAGCTGTATTGTATGGGCTTAAATAACAGCTAATGCAGTCAGTTGCCGATCATGATGACTGACCATATTAGCTTTAGCTCCATCATGCCTCATCGCCGGCTTAACCTTACWGGTTAAAATCACACAGGCAAGAGAACAATTTGATTGGACAATCGTAGTCTGGAAATGTCTGATGACCAGCTGTTTATTAAATTCTAGCGTACTAGTATGAGTTTTATTTTAAATTGATTTTYGATTGGCAAATTCCTGCAACATTTTTGGCTCAAGTAAACATAGATAATATCAACTGTTTTGATTTGTATTCTTGGATTTTTAAACATTGATACTGAATTTACTATCAAAAAAATAATTCAAACACTTAAAAAAACGACGAATATTCATTTCAAATAATTCGAAGCAAGTATTTTAGATATCCAAAGGCTATAAAGCTATTATCATCTATATTTAAAAAACCCAAAGCAATGAAAACTTTTATACACTATTTCGTCATTCGAACTTCTAGCTTTGATGTTAGTCAAAACTCAAAACCAGACTTGAAGTGTGTCTGGTTTACAATAATCAATAAAAACAATATTTTTCGCAACAAAATAAAACTTCACGTTCTAGTTCAGATCTCTGAAAGCTTAAATTGAGTCAAGGATATGAAATATAGAAGTAAAGCAAACGTCAAACAGCTATGGCTTCAGTTAGAGAGAGTCATCTCCATATTTAACAGTTGACAGAATGAAGTGTTGTTTTGTAGCGTTTTTACGCTTCGATTTACATACCTTGGACTTTTTTAGAGGGATAAAGCTTCTCAGCCTTCTTCAAGAACTTTATGGCCTTATCTGTGTCGCCTTGTTGGAGGTATTTCTCTGCTAAATGCCGGCATTTCAGAGCTTCGTCTTTATTGCCCTCCATTTTGTTTTCCCAAAGAAATCTTGGGTTTATTACGCATGCGCGGGTGAAGTTGGACCCAGTCTACCGCTGCCTTGTGGCACTGAGGACTCTGAATCTGACTCTGACTCTTTCTTTCTTTCTTTCTTTCTTTCTTTCTTTCTTTCTTTCTTTCTTTCTTTCTTTTCGAATAAGTACGAAAACTATATTCATATGGCATCCGAGCCGGTGTGATTAGTGTGGCACGTACTAAAGAAAAACTGCGAACGTCCTGTGAGCAGTTATGAAGCACGCACGTTGACCAATCAGTAAAAAAGTTTATGACAGGGATTTTAATTTTAACATCCCATAACGCCTGGRCCAAGCTCGTGATTAGACTCTTTCACAGTCTCTCGCTCGTCCGTTCCGTCTCCACGCTTAGAGACTGTAACGGTACAATGACCGAAARGACTTATGGGTCCCGAAAACTTGGACCCAGCGTGCTTTGGGAACCAAAATACTCGTCCACAGCCTCTCTCGTTTTCGCCRCCATCTTGAAAATATTGAAACGAGAGAGACTGTGGACGAGTATATCCCCATCTCCTAAGCAATGTTGTTCTGGAAATGGCCGAGGGTGAAATGCTCTACGCGAACAACCATTGCTTGAGTGGGGGGGGGATTTTTTCATCCAAATTATATTTGTCCAACATTGCAGTCTTAATTTCAGTTCGATAGGTGATTTCCTATCACTGACATTAGAGACCTTTAGCATCAGGTTTACCGCTAACCGCTGGGGATCAGGCCCAGAAACATGCCCGCAAACACGGAGAAACACTCAGCTTGTATGAAATTCAATATGGCGGCTCTTTCAGAAACGACTTCGTTTATGACGCCTTGGCTAAATGATGAAAGTTGACGGAAAACGCCTGACGTCGAACTGCAGATTGAGGTTTCAGTACCTATCAAGAACGTCGTGCTAAAGCTCTCCAGTTCCAAAACAAAAAGTGGCGTTTCCTTTGAAGCCATTTGCTAATGCTAGGATGTATATAATCTTGAAAATGCAAACGATCATTAAAATAATGAAAGGAGTTTGCATGCTGGATTGATTAACGGCTTGTTATATGTGAAGAAGATTATGATGAACAGACGAAAACGATAGTTTATTGGTTAGGTATATACGTAGGAAGTTCTTTGTGCCTGGCTGCACTAGTGCAGTTCTAATGAGTTTCCCAGAGAGCTGATTGGAACTTAGGCCACTTCAAATTAATTAGAAAGTAAGCCTTCTGGCAACATCTTTTCACCTCATTACAATTAAATTTTTGCTCATTTTCAAATTTACGGCACATCATGATTTAAATTCTTCTCTCTTTTTTCTTTCTTTCCCTTTTCCTTCCTTCSTTCCTACTTCCTTCCTTTCCTTGTTTTCTCTTTTGCATTCTGAATTAAAAATTCTAATTATTAAAGGATATTTACATATTTTTTTATTGAGCTGATGTTTTATCTGTTAACTTGGAGCGCCTTTAATCTTTCTTCATTTTGCTTTTATATTATTTCGTAGAGTTCCCTTTTGTGCTTSGTACAAGATTGCCGCAACATTTCCTTTGCGGCGCCCTTTACGCCCCGTCAAATGATTTGTGCAGCTTGTCATTTTGACCTTCCTTTTTTCATTCAACTCAAGTACAAAGTAAACAATATTAAAAACCTGAGGTGACTGAAAGATTATAACATCAATATACTGTATAGCGAAAGAATATCAGACTGTGGCTGACATAGTAAGTCTCCTATTTCAATCAATCACAAACGATACTCTATAAACAGAGGGATTTACTGAAAAGAAAAGGCTGACTTGCTATTGGCTTATTTATGCACAGGATCCATTTCATAAATTTAATTTTTCTTGGTCAATTTAGTTCATACGAAGTAATGTACCTTTCAGATGAGAACGGCAAATGAATTTAAGCAATTATTTCCTTGGAAAGTTATGTATTTACTAACCTTGTTTGAAGCACCGCTTCCCGTGGATTTGATACGTAAATGTGTGTACCACCTATCAATTTAGAAATTACAAAAGGAAACTAAACTGATAAAAAGAGGAAGGACTGTGGAAGGAGTTTTTCGGTGCAATGAAGTCAAAGGTAAAATATATGTTCTGGAGAACTATTTTATGCYTGGAAATTCACTCTTGGATCGCTCGAAGCGAATCATCTGGGTGCAGTGAAACTGGTAAGAGCCTCGCATCGTGATATATTTTGAATAAGATATTTTTATATTCGTTCATCTTATTGTTATTTCTTTAGGACGATGCCAGCTTCAAAAAATCATAACTCAATATTGTCTTTGTGAAATTCGATATTTTTTAGAATTTAAAATACTTTTATTTTTCAATTCTTCAAATCTTAACTATTTTTTAACTTTAAGAGAAATGTTTCAGAATTTTTGCTTTTTTTCTCTGAACAGGAAAAAAAATGTTTTTTAAGAATGTTTGTCTATGTAAACATCAATCTTCTTTTTTCAAAGTCGATTTAATTTATTTAAATAAAGAAAACGTTTTTATTGAACATTTCTAAAGAAAACCTAACGTTAGGAAATTGTTTCTGTTTCTTCGGCTTATCCATTTTTTCGAGTCCTTTTCTCTTTTCTTTATTTATTTTTAAAGGATTTATTCATATGTTTAGTGTGGGTAAGACCTTGCAGTAGTCCTTAGACCAAACAAAGAACTCCAYATACTTCAATAAATTGACGTTTCTACTTGAAATATTTCCGTGAAAAGAGACTAAAGACCTAAGGAGCTTATTTCTCCGCCACGCGTTCAACTTGATATCGAAAATCCAAATTCACGGTTCTTCTTAAATTTTCTAATATGTAGATTTTATTGTTCGTGGTAACAAATCTATACGGTATTCAATTTGATAGCGGATATTAGGAGATAAATTGATTTGACACTATGGTAGCGATCTATACGTCTAATGAGTCTACTACAGCTGCCTGCCTCAAAAGCTCACGTACTACGTAATACTAGATTCAGCCTTTAGAGCATGCGCAATAGTCTGTCAGCATTTTTCAATTACTATAGAGGCTTTGCACCATCACGTGACGGCAGACATGTTAGATGGCAGCCATGTTAGATGGCAGCCATGTTAGATGGCAGGAACAATACAATCGTTTTAAATGAAAAAGAGAGCAAAGGGATTTTATCGTTCTGCCATCCAACCATAGGCAGCCCGAGTTCTATTATGGACGTGAGCACGTGCCGAAGTTGAATTAACCAATCATAAGGCTACGTTTTCTCTGAGTCACGTGTGTTAGTATTTCTAGATTCACGAGTGGAATACTAATTTCTTTTCTAAGGAGAACTTAGTTCAAAAATTAAYTTTTAAATGTCTTTTACTTAAGAAATTATGCATGATAAATGAACGCGCCGAATTTGTTGACCAGTGATAYTGATTTAGTAACTGGGTGTTCAAAAACAATGTGGATCATGCGCGAACGTAAACGAATGCTGGACTGATTGAGATCAGTATATAGAAATAAATATCGACATTTTCGGGCACTGACTATAAAAGGGCACTTTTGTATATCTAGTTTATTAATCTCATATAGAACTACGCGTCACCCAAATCTGAAATTGTCGCGGTATATCGTAAGTAAAGCCAGTTCTCTCCGCCGGATCCAATAGAACATATGGACGTTTCTTGTCTGGTTCCCAAACGCATACCTGACTGATTTTCATCGGTTCACAAAATTCACTATCTTAATATCTGTTATTTACGTTTTGCCTTTTGCTGCACTACAGCGAGGTCGTGCGCAAGACGTAGTGCACTCCATCGCCTCTCACCTCTGACGTCTGTTTCTAGATTTTATTTGTTAGGTCTCTTTATTGACTTGACGAATCTTTAACCGGCTTTTATTCTTCTAAATTCCAATTCCATCTGCGAGTTAGCCGTGCCCTGGCATTGACAATTAAAAGCAAATAGATGGTTTCAAACTATCGATTATGAAAAAAGAAATTTAAAGGTGAATATCGAATGTTTGAAAAAAACAAATTACATAATACAGTTGATCTGAAATAGTGACGTCAATGCAAAAATGCAGTGTCATGCTGAAGCCTGTGAAAATGACCAGTGAAAATAATAAATGATAATTATTAACCATCGCAATAAAAATATAAAACTAATTAATTGTTATGTTAATGTTATAAACGTTCGTTTGGCGGCCTTGAAATCGACAATTTCAAGAAAGCAAAGGGACACAGTCAGCTTCTCAAATTTTCTTGATTCTGATTGGCTAGCATTTTCTCTCAGATCAGCTAGATATGATTATAAAAAAATACGCCTTAAATTTCCATAATTTTCATGTGTTTTTTTTTCTATCATTAGTGAGGCGTTTTATTCTTAATCAGTCTTGTTTGGCAATTGTGTCAAAATTAAACAGCTTTTATATCAACACGTTTGCAGTCTGAGTATTATTTCTCTAAAGTCACGTTCTATCATTTGAGGTTTCTTCCGACTGGCACCACTGCTGTCCCCATGTTATCGATTCATCATTGATCTAACAAAAGCTTTCCATCTTCCGGTTCTCAGTTTTCTATAGCTCTCAAATTTAATCAAAATTTCAAATGTTATACTACTGCGCGCACTGACTTTGGATTGTTATTCAGTTTAATGTACTATTTTCAACAACAACACTGCCTTTTTGCTTGATCAAAAAAAAAAAAAAATTATTAGGAATTTGTAAAAAAAAAAAAAAAAGATGGGGAGATGTATCCAATCAAAATGCATAAATGGCATGTTAGGACGTTTTCTTACAGGAAGGATATATCAAAATATATACTGATATGATAGGATGTATAATATATTCTTATAGGATAGAGATAACAAAATGCATAAATGATATGAAAACGCATGAAGTGGAAGGGCATTATTAGAATATTGAACAGACAATTTGACAAGATCATACTGTTTATAAAGCATGGCTCAAATGCAAATGCGACGCAAGCTGACTCAATCATAAGCACAAGCGCAAGCTATCGCAAGAACAACTGAATCTTCCATTTGGTTGCGTTTGCGCTTGCGCCGACTCTTTTCACAGTGAGAGAGCATGGTGTATGTAGTGTGTGCATGCATCGTTAGAGATCCAACTTTATACAACGATAAGATAAGATATCTGCTCAGAGGAGAAAAGGGTGATAAATAGTTTATAACATGTCAAGAGGCTCTTAACATGCGATTATTTGTTTATTAGGGTCGATTTTGATTGGTCAAAACTAAAATAAGTCGCGAGATCGTATTGGACAGTTTTACCAGGCATAACTAGTCAGATAAAATTATGGAGTCAACTCGGCTTCAATGTTTACTACCCAGAGTTCCTTTCGGTCCAGTCGCGTAGGCTTGAGTTGGTCGACGACAACATTTTTTGAATTGACTGTATAGTCCAAGGCCTCTAACTTTACCATGGGCATAATCATTTCCCATTTCAAATCGTCCGTCATTTAAATTTCCTAGAGTATTTTATTTCATTTTATTTTTCATTTTTTAACGGTTGCGCATGTGGAGACACATGAATATGGACAATTCGCCAATAGACCTATCCCGAATTCGCTTGACTGGCCACGAAACAATGGTTTCAAGTCGAGGTTGAACTTGATGAATAAAAGAATCAAGTTCAATTTCGACTTSAAACCATTGTTTCGTGGTCAGTCAAGCGCATCCGTGATAGGTCTATTCTCTATATTGAGGATGAAATTCTCTGTTGGAGAGCTATACTAAATCTTTATTCAAGTGTCCACTCATGTGCAACAGTTAARCAAAGAAATGATGCTCTTGGAAATGACACATGGTCTGAAATGGAAAATATTATTWCACCCAAAGTAAAGAAGCTTATTAAGGATCTGAATCTTCTCTTTTCTTTTAGGTATAAATCAAAACATCCAGTTAAACATCACCTGTGATAATTATCTGGATGTGTACATAGATGGTAAGTACATTGGAGGAGAAGAATACCCGACTATAGGRAAGTACGTCATTAGCACTGGCTCTGAAGTCATTGCAGTCAAATGTAAAGGTAAATGCACAACTCTTATAAACACACTCAAACATTGCTATGGCTACGTATTAAGAGAATTGTYTTTAAACTGTGTTTCGTTTGATGTGTTTAGGAATAAATTCCTCTTCTTTGAGCAATGCTATTCTTGCGTCTCTTGGCAACGGCCTTATAACAGATCACAATTGGAAATGCACGCCAAAACTAGAGGCAGGATGGAACAAGAAGACCTTTGACGATCTGGATTGGTCCCCGGCCCAAGAACTCTCTACAAATACTCACGGGGGAATTGTATTACCATGGGGACAGAAACACGATATTGCTCACGGTGCAAAGTTTATATGGACTAACGATGCTGGCAATGACATGGAGATTTACTGCAGACGATTGCTGGTTACAAGATGCAATGAAAGTAAGAATACTAACAATCTTTCGGTGTACACTTAAGGAAAAAAAAAAAAACGTTTGCGCATGCATTCGATTATATTCAGCACGTTTTCCGTCATTAAGGTATTTGAGTGTTTTTGTCGTATCTATATAGTAATACCAAGAGAATATGAACTAAGAGAAGGAATCCTACCTATATAGCCTTGTAGCTATCATGTGCACAGTTTGATGCTATTTTGAGCGAAGAACCTGATTGGTTGATTTCTTGAGGGTAGACGGCTTCCAGTCTTGCAGTAAACAAAGCCTGTGTTTTTGTTGTGGACATAGAGAATTATGGCGCTTTATGGTCCTAAAACGAGTCATTAAAAGGAAGCATGATTAACGCGCGGGCATGGTAACGAGTTAAAAATAGCATCAATGATTCTAAAAAAAARAAGCGTCAAAGTGTGCACATGATGGGGCACGGGGATTCCTTCTCTTAGTTCATTTTCTCTTGGTAATACTTAATGCTGATCATTATGAGGAAACTAAATCAATTTAACTTTCATGTAAAACATGAGTAAAATAATGACGCTTTTTAAATGCTGTTTGTGTAAACCAGTTCAATTTTGCATATTTAATTAAGCCTTAATAGACTCACTCATTAGCATATTGGAAATATAAACCTTCACTCAAAGACGCATCACTCAAATCAAGAAATATTTTACCATTCAACTATTTACTTTATGTAGAATCAGCTATGTGGTTGACCCACGACAGCAATAGATGATGATGATGATGATGTCGTTAGGATAGATGTTTTAGTAAAGAGTACGTGTGACTATTATATTTCCAGCGCATTTTTTTCGCATCCAATAAAAATGTTTTGGATCGCAACGAACTATGTTACAGATAAACGCGCAAATTAAAATTCCTTTCTAACTTTTCTTGGCAGAAAATTAAATCGCTGCAAATTGCAAAATTTAATAGGTACTTAGAAGTTCTCTTCAATATCTCCTTTCCTCAATATCTCCTTCCGTATTCACTGATGCGAATAAATTAGTGCTTTTTTTCTTCAAAACTGAAGTCGAAACATATCATTTTTTGTGCGAAAACTTTAAAGAGAAATCGCTGCATGCAACACTACCTGATGTTACCAAGAAAGGACCCCCTCCCTCCAAAAAGTGGTCAAAGCGTTTACAAAGCCAATTGTTTCTAAGATCATTTAAAAACAACGTATTTTGACGTTTTCATTTTTTAGGAAGATTCCGTTTTTTCACAACAAAAAATGAATGGAAAGACAAGGCTCTGAAGAACTCGGTGACGAAGACTACAACTGTTGGAAATGTTCTTGAATGCGGCATGGGATGCTTGAATACACCTGGATGCCTGTCGTTTAATATTGAATATGATACGACAAAGAAAGAAAGATTATGTGAAATAAACGATCAAAAAGGCGCATTTTCTACGTCCTCCAGAAAARGGTTCCAGTATTTTGAAATTACTAAGGCTGGATTTTGAATTGTAAGGAAAGGGGCTCAAAAAACGTAGCCAGAAACGAGGAAGGAAAGCTTGGAAATGGACCTTTTGTTTTACTAATGTCTCTATATGTCTTAAAGGGCGTACCCTTCCTAGCTTGTTTATATCACTGAATTATTATGAATCAAACAGTATTCATATCTATTTACAAGCATTACTTTTCCAAAAGCGTCGAATTCCAATTCATGTCGCGAGAATTCTTCGTTTGCACATGACGTCGTAAGCGCCATCTTGATTAAATTCAACAAAATAATGGTGAAATGAATTATTTTGTTATATCGACTAAGGCTCGGGTCAAACGTCGAACTTCACATGAGTCGAACCAAATTGAAAAAAATGGATAACAAGGCATTTTTCTTTGATATTATTGAGTTCGGCTCATGTCAAGTTCGACGCTTGACCTGAGCCATACACGGCAGTTGTTTCTTTTGTTGTTTCACCCCCTTTGGCATGATTGAAATCCATCCATAGGGACCTTACRCACCTGGAAATCTAGAGGAAGTATCACCACGTGATGGCAGCCACGACAGGGGGCACAACAATAGAGTCTAATTCCCTTGGGAAACTGAATCCTTTATGTGTTAACCAGATTAGATCGGGTTCAATTGTGTCTGCCTCCTGTCATGGCTGCCTGCACGTGATGGTTGCAAAGCCTCTATTTTGGGGTGCTAACTGAACCCAAGACTCTCGCAATTTATACTGGTGTGCAACTAAATTAAGTTCTTGTTTACTAGTCAATGATGTTGATGACAAAAATAGCAGTCAAAGAAATGATGTCTAAATATTTTACATCACGAAGTGATTTTCTATTTGCATGGACTGACCACTATCCCTTTCAGATTACTTGTCATTCTTTTTAGTATAACTTCCTTGCTTAGTGGTATTATTCGAAAATAGAGGCTTTGCAGCATCACGTGATATCACGTGATGGCAGCCATGCCACAGGAGGCACAACAAAAGTCCCCCCCGCCCCCCCATCCTGGGAAACCGAATTTGTTCTCACGTAAATCAGATTAGACCAGATTCAATCGTTCCTGCCTCCTGCGATGGCTGTGATAAAGTTATGGGGCAAAGCCTCTATATATGAACAAATTCATCAAGGTAATGTACGAGGTCTGAAATGGTAAAACAGTGAGATATAGAGGATATTACATGGGCGCGCGGAGATACGAATTTTATCTTCGAGTGTTGAAAAGATCTCTAAGCGTATCTCCAAGCGCCCATGTAATGTTCTGTTTATTATATAATTATCAATGAAGTATGTTTTGGCTTTTTCAGGCAATTCTTTCCGTGTATCTTTGAATAGCCATCGCAATGGTGATATTTTCACGTGTGAAGATATCAATTTTTCGAAATAGAGAAAAATAGATATTTCATTGGTAATTATATAATAAAACTATTTATTAGATGAATATAAATTAACACTAGGTTCTGTTTATCTCTTTTGGCTGATATTCAAAGCCACTTCTTGAGAAACAGCAGCTTTTGTGACTCTGATATATATGATTTCTGTAATTTTGCTATGAGAAAGCCAACAACGAAAATAAAGACCCATGAGTGTGATCGCAGTTCTCCTCTTATAAAGATTTAGTTCAAGATAGTCATGGGGATCGTTTTTTAATTTAGCAGACAGAGATATGTTGATATAGGATCGAAAGCATTAATTCTATACGGTTAGTGAAGGTGACAAATCATGGCCATCAACTCTAAAGTGTATAGTTCTTTATAATTGTCAGTTATATCTCATTGAGTTTAGTCAATAATCGCTCGATCCATCGCGTAACAATTATTTATATCAATCAGCGAGGAATAGAGAGTCGTATAAAATGGATCGAAAGAAATAGACCCTTTTCAAATTCCAAATTACCGCTGTGTTTCTTGATCGCACACTCATTTACACAGGGTTTGCCTCGATTTTGTGCAAAATATTCCGGTGTTCCAGTCAAGGTCCGTCGAGTTTCAGTGTTTGTATTGTTGAA